TTAAGTGGCAATAATATCCGTTGTAATTAGTGAGGTAAATATGTATACATTTTGTATCGTTATTATTATTATTGTTATTTTGTATAGGTATATATATTATATTACTGAACGTAGAATAGTTGTGTATATTTTTCATAAATGATAATTTAATTGATTTTAGCACCTTGTTATACACCCGTGATGGATTATATTTTAAGAATGAAATATGATTTATGAAAAAATACACTGCGATTTGCCCCCCGGGACATGCCTATAAGTATATATGAATATATAAACATGCAACCTGTACATAGTTGCTGTATTATATATGCACGTTGTAGCGGCTTTTATACAAAGTTTCATACCTACCTGATAATAGATTGTTTATTTTTTCTCGACATTTAATGTGTTGGTAGATATACTAGATGGGTTCGCATCATCATATTTTATACTTTATGATGCGTATCCATGTTTTTAAAATAATAATTAATAATATTCTCTAAACAGTAAACGCATAACACACATTGCGGCCCTCGTATAAATTGCAGTTCGATAAATCTGACGTCAAAGAGCAAAAATACCTAGTGGCTGTATCTTTAAATGGACTTTTTGCTGTTATCTTTCCCCGGTGAGTCATACAATAAAAAATATAATTACAATTAAAATCGCACATGGAATAAATAATATAAGCAAGGATTATTATAATATTATTATCGCATACACTCGGCGATATAACTATGTATAGTCGTATATGCAAGGACTCAAATTTGAAGAACAGGGGAGTCTGCAGAAATTGTTAAGGGGGCAAACCCAAATGATATTTTGGCACAAACGATGTACCCATTATACGTATTACGTATACATCCATCGATTCATCCACTGTTCCATAATTATTTATTCCAAAATTATGATTTTTTTTTATATACATCCATATTGCGTATTCGTAATAATATCTTTAGGTATGATTCGTCTGCATAAAATCATATATAATATATTAGTAAATCTTTCTATGCATATATATAAAAAGGAATGTTCGTTTGTTTGTTTGTTACTATTTGTTCTCCATAGACTCAAAAGCTACCAAACCGACATATTTTTGATGAAAACATTACGAATAGGTACCAAGTTTAACGGTATTGGATTTAAATCAGAATTTAGACATTCGTTAATCTGTCTCCATTTTTTCGAGATTACATCAAAAATATATTGTTCAGAATTAAGAAGTGGAAAATCATAAAAATTAATGATTGCAATATTGTATTCTGTATTATGTGGGTATACAAACTGAAGCAAATGTAAAACGGTTGAAAAATAGATTAATTGTTTGTTAACCAGGACTAGCTGAGCCTGGTTATACCGCAGTTAGTATAATATATGTATTATAGGATTGTATGAATATTGAATATTATGTAATAGTAGGCAATAACACCATACAACATAGAAGTGGTAGCAAATGTAACGAATTATTTATTCAGCGCATAATGAGTCTTTTACAACATAATATGTGTTATGAAGTATAGGTATACTGATTTGGGTGTGGTGAAACAATCTAAATCGAACAGTCGCAGAGTCATATGCAGAATAATATAGGTACTTTATATCAAACAGCCATACATCAATATTTCCTCGTCAGTTTCGTAAATGTATATACAGTTTATATTTAAGTAGTGTGTGCGCACATGTTTTTTTATTTTTATTTGGTCATGTACAAACTATATAATACAAAATAAATCATTTTGGAAGTTTTTGACTACAATTTATGCGATCTAAGATCCGCCCCGCTCTATTGTTACACGCCGCGGCTGCAGTATGCATATGTATATGGTATGTATTCTCGATACAAAAGTTCACTATTTATGGAGACATATCGTTCACATTAGTTTTATTATCACATGTGGTTAATCTGATGATAAAATATTGCGCTTATTCACTATCGAAATAGACTAATGTTGTCGCGTTAAAAACCCAATATATTACGTACCAAATACTATAATATAATATACTACGACTATATACACACAACCTATAAAACATTCAAAACTTATGCGTTTTGATGGCGCGTTTTGTTAAGTGATTAAAATATTGTTAAAAATCTTCTTTTAGTCAACACGGGAGCGGCAGTACCTGTGTACCAGGTACCTATATATATATATACCTGCAGTATAATGTATCATGTTGTGCAGTTTACCTGCTGCGGCCCACCCACTAATATATATATAGACGACTTATATATGTATACCGGCTATAATTTTACCGACAGATGATCGTCTTGTGTAAATGGTCAAGGTACATAAAAATTTAAAAATTATTAAATCTGTTAAACTTGTGTACTAATCTACCTGTAGGCATACCATTTTGGTTGCTCACGAGTTATAAAATATTTGAATGTTTTTTTATTTAAATTTTTTAGTAGGCAAACGATGCAGATCAAATTAAGTCTGTTGTAAATATCACGTGTGAAATGTGGTAAAATAATAATAAAAAAAATATTTCGGAACAAGTTAATTTTTAAATAAAATAGTAAATGCCTTAAATAGAGTAATACAACGTGCAGGGCATGTTATTATTACCTTGAATACTCATTAATTTTAAATCAGAAAAAATGCAAGTCGTTTGAAAGTTTTTACCTTGAATAATACGTCTTTTTATGACTATCCATTCATTTATCTAAATATTTTTACAACGGCTATTACACATAATATGAAGCACATAACACATAATTCTGTGCTAAACTAATACATATTTAGGACGAAACATTTTCGGTGGTATTTGGTTATTCGAAAACAAAAAGATAATTTTTTATAAATTTTTTTCTTTTAAATTACAAATTCCTAATAATATTGTATTAGACATATATAATATATATTTGATTATGGAAGTATGACATATTAATAATTTGGAATAAATTACAATAATTATTGAAGACTGGATAAATATTTTTTTACAATAAAAACATATTTTTATATTTTCATAATAAGCATTTGAAGTGTTACCAATGGGTAATTGCCTCATGCGTGTTACGTCGATTAATATCAATAATAATTTTACTCATTGTAAAATATACGTTTGTAAAAATTATGAATAAATAAAAACAAATTTAATCCTGAAACTATAAACATTCATAACTATTAAGTAAGGTACCCATATAATAAATGAAATGTTTATGATTTTATATTATTGCAACAATAATTAAGTAAGTATCATAATTTATAATACCGTGTTATTATTTATGTTCATTGCTTTTATAATTTTGTAGAAATCGTTCGGAATAATATAAAACGTCGTACTGTATTCTATATTTAATATAATTTTTAAAGTTGCAAAAGTAGGTATAGTACCTATAGTATAATAATTTTGTCAAACATTGTTCTTTTTTCACATATTATATAACCTAACCTAACCTACCTATATAGTAGTTAAATATTTCCAGCCTGCCATGCTAAGTGAAACTATATAGTTCTAGTCTGCCCCTCGTAATTTAGTTCTGAAAGTAAACTAATTGTACGACATAAAAATGTTGATTAATGCGTGTTATTAGCGCAGGGCTCAATAAGGCCCGACGACACTGTAGCTGTTTAGTAGGTAATCTAGCATCTAGGGATACAATTTTGGACACTTATTAGTTAGTTATTTGTGAGCATACTCAAAAGTATTTTTATTTTTAAACGACGCCGACGAATAATATTTCTTTTACCGACCCCTTGTTAGGTATATATCTCCGCATATTATGTTTCTTTTCTTTCACAATGACGATACACCTCTCATTATAATATACGACATGATGTGAACATATTACATAAATAAATCGTCGGCGGAAAGGAGTATATTATATTGCCTTTGTTTGGCCCGATAACAACTTCATCGCCGCAGTACTTATACGCGTTATTTAGAACAGTTATATATAAGGATAATATAATACGGAGGAACATCACTAGGTATCTATTTGGGGAAAGTCCCGAGGCTAATTGTTTTATAATTCATAATATACATATAACCAAAGGTGTATTATTATCGGCCGATTTTTTATTATTATTACTTTTTTGTAACGAATATTTTCTTCCATATAGCTGGCTGTCGATCTCGAATCACTGTGGAACACACGTGTGCGTGCGAGACAATTTACATGATACTTGCATTAGTGGTAGACTGGTACAGAGGGTCTCAATATTTATGTAGTACATAGGTATTGGGTATATAATTAATAAAAAACGGGAATCCTCTGCACTGGTGTAGTCGTTATTTAAATATATCGCCGAGAAAAAAAAAACATAATATGTATATGTATTATACTATACTGACTTTTTGAGAAATTATACTAAATATTAGCGAACTCTCCCCATTTTTATGATTCACTAAGCTTTGTATTAATTACGATTGTATCAATGGTACATTACAACATACGAAAATGATTAGGTATTAACTTTTATAAAACCTAAATCTACATAAAGTAGGTAATTTTTTTCTTCGTAGTTCGTGTAATCATATGATTAGACATCAACGATTTTATGATGTAAAAATCTATTCCTATTTAACACCGTTTATTGATGAACTTATATTTTTTGCTATTGGACTATTATTATCACCGAATTAGTGAAGTTGAAATCCAAAAGTTAAAATTTTAATTCATTGGTTAATTAAATTTAATCAAATTATTAACTGTACCCCTATTTATACCGCCTGACGTTTGATTATTATATATATATACATATATATATAATTATTACTTATTCTGGTATTAAAAAGTTGAAACTTTTAATACATTTGAACGTTTGAAAAAATAATTTGCATACCTAAGTAAATTAATTAATGATTTTTATTTACTTTACAGTTTACCGCAGATTAAATTTATCGGTTCTCATTTATAATATAATATATATTTATTATATATAGTATACATTATAATGTATAATATTATATAGTGTTTGTTTGAATAATTATTAATTGTAGGTAGTTATAGAATTAAAAATATAACACACAATCGATTATTTGAGTATTAAATATTTCATTATTTTTGCTACAGATGGACCGGTATTTTTTCAACAAGACGAATTACGAACATATATAACCAGGTAATATTTCTCATAAATCCTTTCGATACATTAAGTCCAAGAAAAGAGTGTATTTTTATTTGCGTTAACTGTTGGTTCCTAGCCAATACAGGGAAACTTTTAGAATAAATCTTAGTTTTAAATGATGTTGCTCAACAAGAAGTTATAGAAGAATAGCGGGTCCCTTTTCGAATTTTTTTTATGGGCGTGAAGTATTTTTAATGAATTCCCTTCTGTTACATATGTTTGGCTTGGCTGGTGTGGAAATGTTAACAACATTAAAATAATGGTTTTTGAGAGAAAATTTATGTTACCACGATTGATATTAATTTATTGTTTTATATTACCATTATTAGTGACAGTGTGTACTGTTATATTATATAATGTACTGTTTTAGCGAAGGGAGTGATGGGACTTTGATCTATTTATACTTCATTAGCTTACTGATTATAACAGTGTAAATATAATCAAGTATGGAGATATTAGAAGTAGTATAAAAATAAAATATTAATACGAAATATCTTTTTCAAAAACAAATAATATCATTATCATCATCATTATAAATTTATTTATACATGTGATAGGTATTATTTCGTAAGTTTTTATGCAAATTAATTATTTTGTAATACAAGGTTATTAAGAAAAATAAGAATTTTAAATGTTCAACATTTATGTATTAAAAATGTATAAATGTATAATGGTATGTGATAAATGATAATTAATTAATTTTAATGATGTAGGATATAATCAATACTAGGTAACTGTATATAAAATTATTGTCACATTATTATTATTAATATTTTTAAGTGTGAATGTCTGTTCCAAGTGTGCCTCCAGAAATTTATCGAGAGACGGGCAATGTAAACATTTGATTCAAGAGTATATATTATATTATAGTGCTCTTCAGTATATTATAGAAAATAGAGCTGAGTGTGTATAGATGGTATAGTCAATACGTAATTTTGTTCATAGAACGTTTGAGAAAAATACATTCAGCAATTCAGCATTGCAGAATACAGACTACAGTAGGTATGTAAAGACCAAACAGTATAAGTTTGAACCTATACTGCTAATGTATCTTTCTTAATGATTGCAAATTCCATTTCTCAGTATGAGAAATTATAGAGATAGGTTTTCCAAATAAGAAATTAATGTCTTGACAAACCCCAGTGAAACGGATTGGAATTGATTATTAGTCTTTATCTAATCATGATAAAAAAGAACCTATATAATGATGGATGAAAAATATAAAAACATTATCACGTTTCTGAAATGCAAATAACAAAAATTGTACTTAATAAATCAGTATATATGACAAATGCTAGCAGTACATATTATCGATTGTAATTCAAAGCAGTTTTTTTTTTTGGCGAAGTGTATCTTTATATACTGATGGTAGCAATAATAATTTGAGTCGTGCTAGTAAAAAAGAAGAAGATCTCATATAAATGTACTGCAGTATGCGCTAATGATCAATGGTTCTTAACTGAGACTTACACTAACCATGGTATAAGAACTGTAGTCCATGACACTCATGCCGGAGGTTTGTGGCGCTATTAGTGTTTACGGGCACGAACAATTGGTTACTGTATAAGACAAGATTTATCTTAAATTTTTTTTAAAAACGAAAACCAAAGGTTATTCAAAAGGAAACTGGTACCCGAGGAGTCCGTGGTTTGAAAAAATTCTTTGGAGGTCCGCATACTTCAAAAAAAGTTAAAGAACCACTGGTATAGATGGTGATGATAACTATTCATATTATGGTTTACAGTTGAATCAGTAATATTAATCATACTTATACTGGCACAGTGGCACATACTGATAATATTTTGAACTGGGAAATGTTTTATTTTAGTATTTTTGTTCAGAAGGTGAAATATTCTACTTAAGAATTAAAATCATTCAAATTAACGATCTCGCTTCTAGCTAGAACACGACGTGTGTAGACGTTTGAAAGTAATAAAGTATCCCTGCGACGTGTGCGACAAATTGTTCAACTATAACGGTGATTACTGATTAGACAAAGCACCTGTGGAGTGTGGACGCATACGGGCGAGAGACCGTTTCCTTGTGAGTTGCGACGTGTGCGACAAGTCGTTCGGTCAAAGCAGCACTTTGATGGAACACAGGATGACGCATATACCCTCGGGTGTTCCATCAGTGTCGCTCTAAGTGTTGCTTTAACCGAATGACTTTTCGCACTCGACAGAACTCACAAGGAAATGGTCTCTCGCCCGCCGTATGCGTCCACACTCCACAGGTGCTTTGTCTAATCAGTAATCACCGTAATAGTTGAACAATTTGTCGCACGCGTCGCAGGGATACGTCGCAAAGATACAGTTCTCACCCATATGCGTCCACCGGTGTACTATCAAATTGATGCTTGGAGGAAGCACCGGCGGCATACAAGTGGGAAATCGTAGCACTATACGACGCGTGCAATAAGTCTTTCAATCAAAGCTGAAATTTGACGAATTGATTAGTGGTCGCATACGGGCTAGATTGCAAAAAACACAGTTCAGTGATTGTCAGAATAATAAGTTCACCTGTTAATTTGTGTGTACAATTTGAAAAAATTGAATTTATTCACATAATAAAAACATTTATACCTACAAAAAAAAATATTGGTTGAATTAATTATTAACAGGAGAACATTTTTTCTACAGCAATGAGATTAGTTTATTGCTATTAATTTATATTCAACAAAAAAGTCAACGAAGAATGAAAAATGTACAATATTATGTATTGTAGCAATAAGACACTTTTGGAAATTTGATTTCTATAATATTTACTTTTGATTTACCTACACACTAAGAGTTATAAACATATTTGATATTTATAATATCATACATTTATGTAATAGTCAATTATATAATTCAATTATTGTTTTTATTTGGTTTTCTTATCACTTAAGAATACTTCGTGGTTATTATTGTTCGGACATAGGTAGGTAGTATTGATTTTTTTGTAATATTTAGGTGTTTTTTTTAATCCATTTTAAAAATATTGAATTATATAATTTATTCGGTTACAGTATGATCTACTAATGAGAAACTTTTTTAATTTTAAATTCTTGGGCATGAAAAATGAACGTTTTAAATTATGAACACCAAAATGATTTTGCAAATTCATTTGATGAATTGTCAAAATTTGAGGTCCGTCAAGTCTGGCACCGAGAATGTTTCATTTGGAATAATATAGTCAGCTGCAGGTTGGGCGACGATGTCGATGGATTAATAGCCAGAAACGTCCGCGAGGAGCGTATAGAGGCGAGCTCACGAAGAGTTTCTTATTATAGTTATTAGTTATTACGTATATTACTCTATAAGATGAAGTAAACGATTCCTGTATTTGTTATTTCTTTTATTCAACAGTAATAATTGTTTATTTTCAAACAAATCGCTTTTCATTCGTATGTCAAACACGACCGCGGTTTTAATTTGGCGGAAAACTGTTACGCTCAAAAGCTTATATGTATAAACTATTCGGTGAGATTATTTTCGTACGCTCGCAAAAGTTGAACACTTTGTACGTGGTCAGCTCTTGTTGCCAGACGTGTAATTATTCAGTTTGATAGGTTGGAGTACATCGTAGACGAGTCCCGACAGTGCGTCTGACATGTCTGTGAATTAATCGGATGGTGTTATTTTATTTTTTTCATTTATGATAGATCTGCAGTGCAGTGCGCAGAACTTCCAAGAACTCGGTTAATTATTATTTGCTAGACGTTGGAATATACGAAGAAAACAACAGTGTTCTATATAGTTTAATATATGATATGTTGTGTATATTATGCAAGGTCAAATATTATTTATAAACGTAACATATAATATGTACCTATATATAATATACAGGTACAGTGTGGTTTACGAAGCATTCTTATAGCACCGTATCATTTAATACTAAATTTGTTTTTTTATAATAAATACTTTCAGACCATATTTTCAAACTATTGAGATGATTTTTTGTACTGCTTATTAAAACTGTCCGGCGGAAATGCATAAATAACTTCTGTTTTTCAAATGAGCACCCTCTTTTCTACTGTACATATTTTTGAATGTTTCGATGAACCTAATTCAAAATTCGAACGTGTACTTTTCAGTTATTAAAATCAAGTTATCAAGAATAATAGTCCTTGAAGTCCGTAAGAAAAAAGTGTTGACGTAATGGGATCGAAGCGGCCCATTTTTGGGGAGCAAAAGGCATAAATCCGGTGGTCGTGCGTACACCATCAATTTCGCTGCGCAAAGACAAATTTTGTTGGCATGTGTCCCATTTATAGGCTCAACCCTATCCATTTTAGGCCTCATCTGAATACAAGTCGTAAATTTAGCGGGGGCGTATAATAGTATAATATGTATTACAAAGATAGCCGCACAGTTCAGAGTAGGTAAGTAGGTGTATATAATAATATAATCATACCAATATGTCAATATTATTGCGCCTTTAACGTTAACATTTTGAGAATTTAAAACATTTTTCCAAAAAGTATATTTGAGAGTAACTATAGAATTTTCAGTTGTTGAATATTTATTTTACTCAAAATGTTCCTTTTAAAAGTATCTTTTACAACATTGTTGTTGTGCATGTGATTTGGCGACTTTCTTATTTTAAAATCTGTAAAAAAATAAAACGTTCTTAAAACGTGAATTTATTTTATTTTTTTATTATTATATTCCGCAGACGGACTTCGTAATAATAATGTGTATCTATCATATTATAAATGTTTTACGACGTGTTCTCTGCAAGTTTTCGGCGTCGCCGTATATGTGCCAATGTGCATACAGCTATTATTTTCAATTTAAATATATTATCGTTTTTGTTTCGATTTAGTATAGAGCTATATAGTGTATAAACAAAACGTAAAGTTTTACAAATGCTCTAGGAGTTTTGATATATTATGCAAACACATAATAATATAATTTATTTACGAGTCCTATGATAGGTTAGGTCAAGTATCATATACTTAAATTGGTGATACGAAAAAAATGACGCACATTCAGCGTGTCGGGTGATTCATC